AGCCCCGCACCGCTCCGCGGCGCCCGGCCGCACCTCTCGGGCTGCGAGGGGTCTAGCGGGGGTCCGGCTGCGGCAGAGAGGAACTACAGGCAAAGGTTTTAATCCACAGGAAGGAGAGAGATGCTGTTAAGAGATCATAACATTCCCTACACCTTTTATTCAAATTTTCTAATGCTTTAGCAGTATTAACTGACCGAGTCAGCATCAGTATTCATTAGGACAACATTTGTTCACTTCTATTAACTTCAGTGAGACAGTCTTATCAACTGCTACCTTATTTGTTAGTCGTTAGTTACACATTAAAAGCCAGTGAATCAGCTAGCACCTGATGAAGAGCTGGTGTTGGCACTCTGGACTTTCAGGTCCTCTTTAATCACAATATATTGCTGTTTCCTTCTGTGTAAGCAAAACACCTGCACAAAAAATAATCTGGTATGTAAATGGTAGATCTGTAAAGACTTTGATTTGATACAGTCGTAAATGAGCAAAATAGCTCTTGACTGACAATAGCTCCAAGTGAAGAGCACAATAACTCATCTCAATGACAAATATACATTTTTAAGAGTACAATGTGTTGAGAAATAATCACGTAAATGTGCTGTTCCCCCTGTCTTTTTGCCCCATGGATGTGATGAGATGTTTTAAGGCCACAGGCTGTGGTATATTTAGGTCTATAAAATTATGTCTCCTTTGTACTTCATGCTCATTTGTCTGTTCTTAAAGGGTCTCCAAAGCATCACCAGCTCTGGGCAGATTACTAATGAGCCCATGAGCTATATAAACCTTCGAATATAACTTGTTTTCTCTGTTCTGAATTTTAGTCTGGAGAACATCTGCTTGTGGTTTCAGAGAAACTTAGTCCAGAGTGAAGGAAATGGATGAAGGACATTGGAACACAGGGAACCGACCATGAAACAGGTCTGAACCAGCCAAAATGTGTGGGCTGTGTCAGAGAATTATCTAATTATTCCAGGACACATGGCTCATTTTATCCTCATTACTGCTTCCTGGCTCCATCTTCTAAAGTTCATTCAAAGCCCTGGTCTAGCAGACAAGAATTTCTTATGAGCTCCTTTATCTGTTCTATGCATTTATCACCCATTCTGAAATTTTTTTTTTTCTTTTAACAGGGTTATTCTCTTTGGGTTTTTTGTTTGTTTGGTTTGGTTGTTGTTGTTTGTTTGCATTTATATTTTTTAAAGTTAATATGCAACTCTTGGTCCCAAATTCTTACATGTGAACTTTTCTGTACTAGCTACAGAATGTTATATGCTAATAGCAATGTAAGATTAAGTTAGAAAAATATTGATTTCAAAAATTCCTCTCTTATTTGCAGCATTTTGTATATGGCACCATAAATAAATTACCCCTCTATTGGGTTCCCATGTATTGGGATCTGATTTTGTGTGCTTTTTTTGGTACAATCATCTTTATCTAGTTAAGAAAATCCTTTGATCGTATCCACCTATGTAAAGTAAAACATTTGCAATTTGGAGGGCTGATGCTAAACAAAAAATAGTATAAATTGTAAGAGACTCCTTGAGATCATCCAGTTCGATCTCTAGAAGTGACTTGAAGCAAACTACATTTTTGCATGACCATCTGATTTAAAGAAGTTTGGATTACTATGTATTTGAGTCCTATCTCCCATCTGCCTCTCTTCCCATCTGTTTCCTTTAGAACCACTCCCCTCTCTCCCACAGCCCCTGCACCTTCCTCCCTAACTGTCACATCCTGGTTCCCCACAAGATCCCACTTCTCTGGCCTCCTCCCTTCTCCTGCCTCTTATCTTCCTGCCTGCTAGTTACATCATCTCTCTCCTTTATTCCCTCCAACAGTACTCTCCTCCCCAGGCAAGGGCAGCACATACAGGACTATTTCTGGTAGTCTAGAGCTGTGCGTCTGCGTGTGAGTCAGTTTGCTACTAAGAAGGGAAGGGCAAACACATTATTTTGCATGTTATGTACTTTGCAAACCTGCAAAGGGACACAATTTGGAAATACCTTGTTGATCTACCAAAATTTATTGAAATTTGCCAAATGTTTCTGAAGTCCTTAATTCTAATTCACTTATGCTTCAGAGCCCTCTGTGCCTGAAGATCATTCACAACATACAGAAAGCAACATGAGCGGGATGCAGAGACAGAGAAGCAGAATTCTAGCCAAGGTCAAGTGCCAAGCCTCTGAACAAAATTTACTATAAATCAGGGAAGATAAATTAGACTTACTGCTTATCTTACTTTCTCTAGCCCAGGTGGGGCTATCTGTGGCTATTTATACTAAAATGCCCACATTTTTTGTTTTGAGAAGAAGACAATCAATTGTTTAAGCAGGTTGGTATTTCCTGACTGGACATTTATCACCTTACTATTTGATGTAGATGAATGTGATCTTGACAGAGTCAATTACATATATATATAGTTTAATTCACTGTGAAATAAAGAAGTACTCTATTGTGCATAATCTGTGTGAATAAGCAGATCACATGATAAATAATGTGCTTCAAAGATGGGCCAATTACCTCTTTAAAGAAACAGTGGCTAGTATTTTCACTACAATAAGGTGTACCTTGATTAGATGCACCTAATCTGCCATCTTATTAGATGCAAATACGTACAAAGTTAACTTCTTTTACAAAATTAACTTCAGCTAAACAAGTCACCCTTCTTGAAAGTTTTGTTAAGATTATTTCCCTTCTCCTGGAACTTCTGAAGGCCAACAGAGACATGAATATAACAGAGCAAACTCCATTATCCCACCTGTACATACAATGAGGCCATTATCCCCTTGTCTTACAAAACTGAGCAGAGGTAAACCTGCCATCCAAACAGGAAAAATCTCCCATAATCTCTATATCAGGTTATCCCTTCAGCTATGACATTTATTATGTTTGGTGACCAAGCTCAAATTCTATACTTCTGATGCAAAAGATGCACTTTCAATCCCCCTCAGTTCTTGGCTGCACAGTGGCACCCATCCCCCTGGGAACTGCAGGCATGCTGAGTCTTTGCATTGAAGGAATGGAACTTTGTTGGCAAAATGGTGGTACCGAAGCAGAGCCATTACAGGATGGGAGTTGTGAGAGTACTCTCACAACTTCAGTCTTCAACTGATGTACCCTCAGTGAGAAGGGACATACGCAGTGCGACCCTGGACTTCAGGCCATTAGTCCTTGGTGCAGTGCTCCCTTACAGTGCAGCATCTTCTTGTGAGGTGATCTCTGTGTAGACAAGTCTCAGGCCCTCAATAAGGTCAGGCTGGAGGTAGAAGGGATGTTGAGAGGAAAAGAGATGCCTCTTCTCCCATACATAGCCCACCAAGATCCCTTTGTCTCTTGTCTGAAGGTTATTGCTGTTATCAGTGTATTTTTCATTTTAGTATTTGTAGACTGAAAGTACACACTGTTGCTAATTCAGACCCAGCATGCTGAGTTCACAAATGACTGGGACAGCAATTAAAGTGCATCCAGTAATGACATGGTGGCAGAGAGAGACTTCACAAACAGACCTCAAAAAACTGTAATGATTCCAAAGCTATCCCTTAACATTATCTTTGTAATAACTGCACAACACAGTATACAGAACCACAATTTCTATGTACACGGATATATAAAAAATGGAGAAGAAGGACCTCAAAGGTAAGGAAAGAGCAGGCTTCTCACAATCCCTTGCCAAAGAATCCAGAAGAAAACTAAGCTTTCTGTATCCCATAATTCTAGACAATTGCTGAAGCAATTGCTGAGCAGATCTCCTGGCAATCTACATTGACTGTATCTTTGGTGATGTGTTGCCAGAAAGCTGGGGCTTAGGAAGAGAGGACTGGGACTGACTACAGATCTGCTGTTCCCTGTGGTCAAAAATCTAGAGGCAGCATCCTGGACTTACCAGTATTTACATGAGTGCTTGAGAACTGCTCGTGTTCTGGGGGATCCTGGAAGCAGGTGTGGGTTTCTTCTGAAGTGCTGCTGGCAAATTCTGTTCTCTGATATGGACTGCCTAAATGTAGGTATTTTCTAGAGTTACTCCTGAGGCATATTTTGGGCATACCAATATTAAGTAAAATGCATCTAGGGAATGCTGTAAAGGCTTCAAAGCTTCATGCGAAAGATGTGGGAAAAAGATGCCCTTATTAATTCTAATTGCACCCAGATCTTACTTCCTACTAAAACTGAAATTAGTGCTAAAACTGTATTTGATAACAGTGAACCTTTGTGCCATCAGTTAATTTCCCTGGTTGTTTTGAGAACGATGAGAAATGCTCCTGGAGACAGGAGGTAATAAAAAAGGAATTTTTTACTGACATAAAATTTTCCTAATGTTTTCTTGAAACTTAAAGCAAAATTATTTTTAAAAATTATTTTTTTACTTAGTAGATGAAGTGTATGAGATTAGAGTTGGTGCTAGGAGGTAACTGTGGAGTTTGGTGAAGAGTAGTTCAAGTGTGTGGGAGAATTCAAATTACTTTAGTGGAGTGGGGATGTTTGGTGGTAGTCCTTATTTAATTTTAAATTATACTCCCCTAAGGACGTAACACCACTACTTTGTTCCTGTATGTGGAAGCTTTATACATAAGTTCCTGAGATAAGCAGAAAAAGATACTCTGTGTGTGTGCACAGAAGTAGCATGCTCTCTCCCAAGGACGTCACTGAATTTTAGGTATAAAACAGGTAGAGGAAGGAGGGGGAACTGCTCCTCTGAGAGCAGTGCTGTCATGTTTCTGCCCCAATGGCTAATTTGCGTTATCACTTTCCACACAACTCTTTCATAGCAATGATTTTGCTACATCTCATAAAAGTGACATGATTTGCATGTATAGAACTGTTGCCATCCTGTGATGACAGAACTGAGATTCAGAGGGCTATTTAGTTTTCTGTTGTCAGATGGTACATCATCATGAAAACCATGGTTAGGCCCTTGGTTTCTCATTGCTAATTCAACTTCTAATGAGTTACCTATCCTTTGAGTGAGGATAATGATAGAAAAAGAAGAATCTACTCTGTAACTGTCATAACACAAGGCTGGCACTCTATTTATTGTCTTCTCATTCCTTGAGGTATGGCTGTATGCCTAATTCACAAAGCATTTGGTCCAGTCATCAGATTACTTGCATCATACAAGTGAATTTACCTACAGAGTCAGTTTTGAAAGGAAGAAGCTTAGGAAGAAGTGAGGGAACGGTATTCTGTCAACAATGACAGAAGTAGTCACTTCCTACCTGCAGTGTGGTGGTGATGGGAAAAAATGCGTGGCCTGCTTTTGTTATATGACAACATTAAAAAAATTCCAAATTCAAATAATTCACTGTCCACCTTTCCCCCAATTTCAATGATCTTGCCCACTTCAGTGTATTAATTTTGTCTGTTCTGCCTCAGCATTTTTTCTTTAGAGCCTCAATAATGCTTGCTTCACATCTTGCCCCATTCCCACTAGGCATTTTTTGATTGATAAAAATAGAAAATAAATAAAAAATTGAAACCTCATACAGTTACGGTCTGGGTAATCCAAGACTCGTGTAAACTTATGTGTCTTCACTGATAATGAGCACAACAGATCTTAAAAATCAAGGTGCAAAAAACTGCCTAGTAGGATGGCAATCTACCCCTTCATAAATGTCCATTTTAAGATTAAATGATTACAGGATACCTTGCACAAACAAGTTTGATAAGACTTTAAAAAATTTTGACTGGGTTAGATGATAAACATCAAATCCTTCTTAGAATTTTTCTAGATCTTTCTAAGTCAGTGTTACATGTTACCTGTTTCCTGAGCCACCTTCTTATTTCCTCTCCTCAATGATCCCCTCCTTCTCTCTTTCTAACCTGTCTTTTTTTTTTTTTGGCTGGGCCTGGCACTATAGTACTTGAACCCACTTAAACCTTTTAACACTGTTGTCACAGAAAGTCTTTCAGCTTTGGAAACCTTACCCTTATTATATCCCTTTAGCTGTGATATTTATCCACTGTTGCATAAGGCAGGGTGGTTGTGGTTTAAAATGTGTGTAGCCACAGGCAAGATGCCAAAGTCTACAGGGTTTAGGCTGTCCCCAACTAATTGAACTCTGCTAAACTGGCAAGTTATCAAAGTAACTGGGATTTGACATCTCAGCAACCTTGTAATAGCATTGACCTAAATCATGCAAAAGTTAAGGCCATGGGGATAAAAGGGAATAGTTTAAATTATTGGGGATATTCTGTGGTTTTATGCCCTTCCCACTGGTAGTTTCCTATTGTGCTAATAATTATTTATTTGAAAACTTTCTTTGGCTCTTGTGTTTTGAGATGTTTGAGCAGATCAACAGCTGCAAAAATGTGACCATCAGTGAAAATGGGGTCAGTGTGGAACTTGAACATTTAAAATTTCCCCAAATGGGGTCAGTGTGGGGCTTGAACATTTAAAATTTCCCCTACTCCTGTGAGCAGAGGGCAGTAGCCCTTCGCACAGCATGGTCAGTAGTAAACATGACTTGGGATTCATCCTGGAAAGCAGGGCGAGGCACCTTCCACCCCAACCCTTTTCAGGAGCTGGTACAGCCAGGTAGTCTTTGCTAGGAGAGGCAAGGAGGAGGCATGTGGTCCAACATTGCCCTGGAGGGTCTGGGTGATACAGGACTCCACAAACACCAGCACTTCTGATTGAAGTGTGTCAGTCCCTTCAAAGTGCAATGGTTAATCCTGACTCCGAGAGTGGAGCTGGGCAATTTGTCACTCCATCTGCCTTTCCTCGCCATCCTGCAGAGACAGGGCTGTTGCCCAGAGGCCTAGGATCTCTTGCTGGTTGCAATTCCTAGGGTATGTGAAAGATTCCCCATATGAAGTGTAAAGGAGCTCACAAACACAGCTGTAAGATTAAGTGCCGTGGTGCCATAAGTATCTGTTTTTAATAGTACACGCAGTATTAAATTTCCCTCTTAAATGAACAATTTATTTACAGCCTCAGAACCAACTTAATGACTTCTTTTGTCTAGAATTAGGCATATTTCTATAGTTTCAGTGCCCTCACAGCAAATGCTGTCAACCTGTGTTAATGCTCAGAAAATTTAATTATTTTGTGATTCAGAATTTTCCTGTCCTTTAGGCAGTGAAGGACAATAGGCAGGACTATCAAGTCCTTTAATTTCTCATTTGTGTAAATATAATCTATTTTATTTCCTAATTATCCTCAACAGTTGCATTAGAATTTACTCCAGCTCATCGTTCTGCCCCAGCTGTGTTTGGTACTTCTGTGTGTGAAAGCCTGACAGGTACTTCATTACTATCAATGATTTGGGGTGGTTTTTTTGTGTCTATGGCTGTTTCTACAGAAGTGATTAGGAAATATGTTTGTATAACAAACTTTGAGCGTACACTATATGTTATTCCTCGGAATTGTTTTCCAGTGGTAGGCATCGCATTATCTGTGTTTTAATGGAACATGCATCCTCTTCAGGTGCACCCTCAGGAGTATTATCTGTAAGGGTCCGAGAGAGTCCACTCATTCATGGACAAACATTGTGATGATATACAACAGGCCTAGTCCAACACCAAAAAAAGGAAGGGAAAATAAGCCTGTTTCCCAGAAATGACTATCGATGTCTTTGCATATTCTGTGATATCTGTGATATCTATCATCTTGTGTTTTCCAAGGCTTGTTACACTTCAATATCTGTTGGAGCAAAGGGGAGGAAAGTGATAGGGGCTTTCTATTTTTATTACCAGAAGGCTGACTTCGTTAGCATGCAAATCCAGTATCTCTGTGTACTTCTTGTTTATCTCATCCTCAGGCTATACAGGTTATTATAGCATGCTGGCCAATAATATAGGTGATTCAACAGGAAAGATTTTTAGACTGACTTAGTGATACTTGACTTGTGCTTTGAGATACAACTTAACGGGCATATGTGATTAAATGCTTTCACGATTGTAGAGGAAGCTTGAGTGTGTGATTCAAGTGCAGAAATATATGAAAGAGAACTCAATACATTTTGTTTTATTGTAGCTGTCACAAATTTTATATTATCAGGGTTTTGAAGAACTGATGTATTATTTTTATTTTTTCATTTGAGATTGAAGATGCTATTGTTAGCAATGACAACTCTAATGTCTCCAATAATGTTTTCCTTATGGTAATTGTAGAAATTGAGAGTTAAGAATATAATGACAGAGCCAAAACAAAAACTGGATTTAAGTACAGAGAGTAAATACTGGTCACTTATTTTTACCAATAAAAATGACTTGTACTGTTATAGAAACTTGAAATGGCAAAAACTAATGCAGCATAGCTTGAAGGGAGGCCTAAATACAAAGTCTTAGGTGAATCATATGTATTCAAAAGGGAAAGGAGCGCATTCTCAGATCTGATTATAAAAAAAACCAGAATTTGCAAGTATTCCATATGATCTCTATTTTATGCCTGTTGATACTTTCAAGGAATAAATTGCACTATCTGTACAGTATAAATAAAGCAGAAAAATAAATGTCTGCTAAATCAAATTATATCAGACTATATTTACGTCATATAAACTTAAGAGTAAGTGTTTACTGGATCAAATCCCTGCAGCCATATTGGAGGACAAAGTTTCATTGTATTATTTGTGGTTATAGGGGGGCAGTATATTAACTTTAAATTTACCTGCCTTACAAAAATAAGCAAACTGGTTTAAAAAAAAATATAATCAGATGTAAAACTACTCCCTAGCTGCAGAATCTGTGACTTTCAGAAAGTGGCCAGGAGCTGTGGAAACAACTTTTTTATAGAAGTAAGCTTTAAGACACTTAAAGCTGTATGCTGAGGTGATGTGTTACAAGGTAGACTGCTTTACAATACGACTCCTGAGACCACTTATGCATGTGTGAGTGTGTGACTTGGTGCAATTTACTCACCAGAATCCTGAATCTGCTATGTTACAGCTCCACCTATTTAAATCAGACGTCTCCACTTCAACAAAACAAAACTTTCCTTCCTTTAGCACACTATCCCTGTATGAGAATCAGCTAAAAAGAAGGACAATTGCTGTGTAAATACATAATGTAACTTTGTCTATACAGGCACATGAAAGATAAATGGATA